TGCAGATGATGTTAAGTCGCCTCGAGCCGTGGTCAACCCGGACATCTCAAAGTAAGGCCCTGATCGCTTGAGGAGTGTGTTAGTGATAACGTTATGGTTACTGTTGAACCTGGAGTTGTGTTTTTCTTACTGCAGCATGTTCGAGTCATGAGCTTTTAAGTGCCTCCATTTCAGTGAGGTCTTCCATTGACTGACACTCAGTGCCACTCATAACACGTGCATTTCTCTGCTTTTCATTTGCTTCTGCAATCTTTACAGATCACAGTCTCCGCAGCTGGCCAAAGAAAATGAGAACAATTTAGCGAAGAAGCTATGACAAATAGACCACTAATCAAACTGCGACACACACTCTATAATTTATTTGAAAAATCTATCTGAAAAAGCTTCTACTGCAGCTTCTCTTTCTGCATACACCAGCTCTTCTCACCTTTTGATTCTGACGTTTTGATTATGATTTTTTTTTTTTTTTTTTTTTTAAATCACATAAAACCTCACAAAATATCCATAAAAGAACAACAAAAGCGCCACAAAGGTGGTGCATTTCTGAAAGGGAAAGCAAAGCTGTACTATTCACTTAGGGTTATTTTCATATCTGCGTCTAAAAGAATTGTACTTATGTGTTAATATTCAGAATCCGTAACATTGGCATCATGGCCCACATAGACGCGGGGAAGACCACCACCACTGAGAGGATGCTCTTTTATTCGGGGTACACACGTGCTCTTGGAGGTAAGCTCTCAGTAGCTTAAAGCTGCTGTACGCAATAACCTTTTCCCGTCTAAGCCACTAAATCACCGTCTCCTCCTGTCAGTCCCACGCTCTCTATTCAAACCGCGTCCAAAACCTTCTAAACACATGCAGCCTGACCCAGGCCGTAATCAGTAACTCAAACCCCCAAACCCAGAAATCATAATCTACCCTTGTACAGGATGACCGTGCACACGTAAATCACTGACAAGCAGCGAGGGTTGTTACAAAATCACCTTAATGCGATTATTTGAGCTGATCAGGGTTATTTGAGGTCGTTGGGTTCGTAAGTTAAATCTACGTAGTACGTAAACATTCATTCATTCATTCTCAGAGAGTTGACTGATAGAATCAGATCTCTTCATCATCAAAATTGTAATACTTTTTCTCAGTAAATGCCTTTGATATATGAACTGCAGGTAAGTAGATTTAGTATTCCGTGGTGGCGTAACCTAGACACAGTCGCTAAAAACGTGCTGTAGGTAACAAGACTATTATATAATATATAAATATATTTACAAATATATAAATATTTGACTTTTTTTGTGTGTGCGATGCTGTATCACGTGTTGTCATTGCTAAACATGTGACTAAACATGTACTCAGTAATATGGTTCAGACATATTTACAGTACAGCATGTTATACATACAGTGCATTGCAAAAGTATTCAACCCCCTCAAAGGTCATCGGATTCGTCTGGATTACAAATGACACTTACACAGATTGTTGCGGACAGTATTTTTATTACAAACCAATACGTTGCCCAGGATGAAAAGGGATGGTGTTTACTGAAGCGCTTGTAAACTTGTCTCGACCAAATATCTCAATCTTGGTCTCATCACACCAAAAAAAAAAACATCATCTTCACTGCGTCACTCTCGTGCTTTCATATGACTCTTCTTGAGCAATGGTTCTTTCTAGCCACCCTCCTGTACAGTCCTCAATTATGCAGAGCTCCTGAAATGGTTGTCTTCACTCCACTCTCAGTCACTGTACTCTGTAACTCCTTCAGAGTCACTGTTGGCCTCCCTGCAGCTTCCCTCACCAGTCTCTTGTTGGATTTTGAGGGAGGGCCTTGTCTAGATAGTGCTTAGGTGGTGTGATGTAGCTTTCACTTCCTCACTATTGATCCAGCAGTGCTTACTGGGATGTCCAACCTCTTAGATATAATTTTACACCCTATGCTTAAGTGATGAAATTCTGTTACCTTATCTTTAACTTCTGTAGAATGCTCCTTAGTCTTCATTTTCACTTTCCTTCAGACTGACACTCTCTTCAATGGCAGTTTAACTGAGGTTGTTCTTTGTTCATAAATTGGGAGTTTTTTAATATTTCACGGGTGAAGGCCGATTATAAGTCAGTTGTTATCTTTCATCCGGAACCTGGGGGGTTATGCAAGCAGCACTTTTCAGTTTTTGATTTTCTTTGAAATACTTGCTGACCAATAATTAATTTTGACTTCACAATAAGTTTGTATAGTGTCTTTTTTGTGTCTGTATAAGCTGTTAAGATCTAAAACATACAATGTGCAATATCAAGATGGTAGCATGAGCTTATGAATTGAAACTGAAAGTGCTTGGACCCCGCAGATCACCACTTGTAGTTATATTTCTTGTAGATTTTGCTATTGTATATTATTGATTGTTTTCTTCCAAAATTAGTTAATTTTCTATAACAGCATGTCCCAAAGTGTTTTGTTTCTCTTGTACCACAGCAAGTTAAAAACTATAAATTTTGATTATTTCAAAAAAGAACATTATACTTTTTATCCTTTAATTGTTACAAGTTATGTGGCGGAATGTCCACAAAACAAGTTAGTTCCTTTTTTTCCCACTTACATTATAAGAGCTATAAACAGTCATTCCCACACCAACCTCTTTTTTTTACTTCACTTTTAAGTTATTGCAACTTGTCATTTTGTGGAGAATCTGGAAAGAGACTCCTTTGTTAAATAATGTCTTCTTACAGAAAGCTCCACAATTTTAATGATTAAATTTTTCTTTGTTAAATAACAGCTTTTTAATCCGTTTAACGTTTTTTTTTTTTTAGTCCATTATTGTTCGTCTTAGATTATGTAGAGCGTCTACATTACAAGTCTCTGTTACTATGCAAACAATAACGTATTAAAACGAGTACATCAGTATGAACCAGTGATTTGCTCTTCACCAATAAGATTACAGAATTCAGCAGCGCTGTGGTGTAAAGATGATTATTATTATAGTGTGTAATAGACCTTATATTCAAGATATTGTTTCATATTTTGTCTTTGCTGTTTGTTTTTTAACCTGCAACGTAATTTATTTATACAGTATGTTTATCATTCATAAATGGCCATTGTATGGGCATTACTGCACTACTGTTTGCTTGTAATATACAAGTGTTGTAAAGTCAACAGAAAAGACAATTAAATAGTTAATCACAAAGATGTGTATGACCATTAAGCATAGCCAAAGTTTCATAATCGTCAAGGGCCTATCACTTGTGTGTGAATGTCCCAGTGACCCAGACCTAGATTTTATGGCAGTACAGTCATAAAATATATTTATAAATGACAAATAGATTGTATTTTTATCTCCATTATTTCCTTTATAAACAGTGATTATAGAAAATGGCAGGTGAGAATGCAAGTATGATATTTACTCGCTTGGAAAAATGGCATACTCATGAACAAAAAAGCTTCATCTTAGAATAACAAGTAGTATTTATAGCAGTTTAGTATATAAGTAGTAATTGCAGTGATGCCTGGTCTGCTATATAGACGTGGATGATGGAGACACCGTGACTGATTATATGGCTCAGGAGAGAGAGCGTGGAATTACGATCCAATCAGCTGCAGTCACCTTTGACTGGAAAGAGCACAGGATTAACCTCATTGACACGCCAGGTATGTATACACACACACACACACACACACACACACACACACACTTCCCTGGTTTATACACATACTCAGGGTAGATTTGTTTTGTTTCAGGCCATGTGGATTTTACTCTGGAAGTTGAGAGAGCTCTGCGTGTGCTGGACGGAGCCGTGGCTGTGTTTGATGCCTCAGCAGGAGTGGAGGTGATTAAAAGTTCTCGCTTCTTGCCCAAAATATGTGAAAGCCCACTACAGTGCAGCTACCATTTACTGCAGAACCAAAAGTCCAGTGGGTGGAGTCAGATCCAATCCAGTTCCTCCTACCTGGGTGGAGTCGAATCAAAAGTCCGGAGACAGCTCTGTGTGTTTCAGGCTGGATAAGAAGTGTGGTGTTAACTATGTTGTTCCGTGCCGTAGAACATCGCATGGGTTAGATTCTGCAGCGAGGACTGTCTAACGTGATTGTGTAACATTTTGCGATTTGATTCTCATTCCAGTGTCCTATGGTCAAATATAATTCCGATTGAAATTTAGGAATAAAACATGGAACATACTTTATATAAAATATGGGGTTTTGGAGAATAACCAGCGATGGAGGGGTGCGATGCTGTGCGACGTTACTGCTTCAGGTTGATTATTTTCCAATAACAGCACATCCCAAAGTGTTAGTTCCTCTTATACTCCAGCAATTTTTCAGCACTTACAATGATTTTACTTAGGAATGAATGGCACATCATCATTGTTACCAGTTTATAATTACATTTAATGACATGGAACATCTAAGAGGCAAGTTCTTAAAAATATAGATTGTCATGTTAGCAAGAAACCACAAAGTGTACTATTTTGAACTTCCGCGTCCATTACCATAGCAACAATTACACACATTTACAATCTGGCTATGTGCAGTTTTCCTCCATACAAATTCGTCTGTTCAATTCAATTTTATTTGTATAGCTCTTTTAACAATGGACATCGTCACAAAGCAGCTTTACAGAAATAAATGGATTCAAAAATTATATTGTAAATGTGTGAATTTGTCCTAATGAGCAAGCCAGAGGCGAAGGTGGCAAGGAAAAACTCCCTGAGACAACATGAGGAAGAGACCTTGAGAGGAACCAGACTCAAAAGGAACCCATCCTCATCTGGGTGCAACGGATAGTGCGATTATAAATAAATCCCTTCTATTATTGTGTGCTATATGGACAAATAGTGCAAATGTGCAACCAGTAAATTCATCACAGTTTCCGCAAGAAGTCCGGATCATTGGTCCGCATATTTGATTTGGCACAGTTTTTACCCCGGACGCCCTTCCTGATGCAACTCTCCCCAATTTTTATCCAGGCTTGGGACTGGCACAGAGAGCGCGCTGTTGCACCCCAGTGGCTGGCGTTGGTTCCCTGGCTGGGAATCGAACCCGGGCCGCGGCGGTGAGAGCACTGTGGCCTCAGAACTAGTCGTCCAGGGACCCATACAAATTGCTCTGTGCTGTTAAAAGATTAAACACAACGCCTTCTGACCAGTCAGGATGTCCAATTCCACAGTGCTTCCATGTTGCCTCTATGTCTGGCATTGACCATTCCCACATTTACTTCTTACTGCAGAAGCAGGATTCGTAACTTGCGGCAAAACGTTTTTTCAGTTGAAAATCTATTTACAGGTTGACTACAGAACGCTGACTGACACTTCAGAAAACAGCATGCTACGAACCCTTTCTGAGACCATGAACTTGGATCACACGTGTGTGTGTGTGTTTGTGTGTGTGTTCTTGAATGAATTGCAGGCGCAAACCATGACAGTGTGGCGACAGGCAGCGAAACACAATATTCCCTGTGTGTGCTTCCTAAACAAAATGGATAAACCTGGAGCCAGGTAACACACAAACCTGCAGGTGAAACACTTTACTCTTTTCTGTGACTCGAGACTTTTCAGTCCGTTCAGTTACGTGACTCGTTCGAATTCATTCACCAGTTTGTGCCGCGTGATCGTGGAGCCTTAGAAACCACTGATATAAGCATTAATATAGCGTTATTGTAAGCACTGATAATTCCATCAGCAATTTTCGATTATTTTTTTACACCCAGTCCAACACAGACTACAACTGCATGCACTGAAAATCCTGACCGCCATTCACTCCTCTCTTGTTGAGATACAATAGATAGATAGATAGATAGATAGATAGATAGATAGATAGATATTGATCACCAAGTGGAAATTTAGGATTTCAGAAGGTGAAGGTTTGAATAAACTAATCTTTTGCTGCAGAACCAAAAGTCCAGTGGGTGGAGTCAGACCCGATCCAGTTCCTCCTACCTGGGTTGATCATCACAGCAGACTGATTAAAAGAGGAGTGAATCTCAGTCATGCCTGTCATCCCTGATTCAAATACTGACCCTCTAAACGAGAGAGGAGTGAATCTTCGTCTTGATTTTATTGAATTGAATTCACAGATGGTTAAAGAACACTGGCAGATTAAAGATATAAAAAGTAAAGACCTAAAAAGGGAACAAAGGAGCAAATATTGACCAAAAGGATTCAGTGATTCATTTTTTTTGCGGATTGCAATCACGAAACCAGCAGCAACGGAATGACAGTAATGACTCCGTGAGTGGCAGCGACGGATACTGAATCATTCACGTGATTTATTCAAAAAGACTCGTACAAGTCAGGGATCTGAATGACCTCAAAGTACGGAAGATAACTCCACAATGTAATGGTTTTACCAGGGAATAAATCACGTTTTAAACGTGTCGCTCTTTTTAATCCTTTCTTTCAGCATCAGTTACTCTGTAGAAAGCATCAAGACGAAACTGAGGGCTAACCCCGTACTCCTTCAAGTGAGCGTGTTCTCCTTTTCAATCTGTCATGAATTCATGTTCAGAACAATAATCAACCACTTACGGATCCATTTCTTTAATTTCTTTTTTTCAGCTTCCCATCGGCTCTGGAAAGGAATTTGTCGGATTGGTGGACTTGATCACTAAGCAGCGAATGACATGGCGGGGGAAGTCATGGGCCGAGGACGGGCGGGCTTTTGAGACGAGAGCCCTCCAGCCCACAGATGACCCCGAATTCCTGGAAGAAGTCAATCAAGCCAGAGCAGCCCTCATAGAACAGGTAGGTAGTGCCGTCAAACACAACCTTCAGCGATTTTCCTGGTTTTCCTGCTTATTTTCCAATAACAGGACATCACAAAGTCGTTTATTTTTTTCTTATATCACAGCAATTTGACAATGCTAACAATTTTTTATTCATTAAAGAAAGACAAGTCATACTTTTTATTCAATTATAGTTACATTTAATGTTGTGGAACGTCACTAGCCTTTTCTCTTGAAGCCGTAAACGCCCCCAAAAGCCTTGCTGTGTCAGAAAATAATAATAATTACAGCTTTACCTCTGACTGTAACACCGCTGACACTGGAGTCTTTTTCCAAACAAAAAGTGAAATAAACATCTCCTCACAGAAAACTTCGCCATATCAACGATTACACGTTTTTCACGTGCCATACAAGTCCCTGTACTGTAAAAATGATGACCTGTTAGAACGAACACAACATCATCTGACCAATCAGAATTGAGCACTGAATGGCGCCGCGGCATAAAGACAGTTCTAGGAGCTTTGTACACGGGATTAATGGCGCAAAGAGCACAGAAAGTGAAAGCAACCACAAAGCAAATGTTTCAGTAGAATGACGAGTTCAGTAGCATGGCTTTGTGTAAACTGTGTTTCAGCTCAGCTGAACCATCCCTTTATTATGGCAGTGTAACAACAGGGTGCTATAATACAGTCCCGTCCGAAAGTATTGGAACGACAAGGCTTTTGTTTTTGCTATACACTGAAGATCAAACATGAATATGAGACGATAGATTAGAATTTCACCTTTCATTTCCTGACATTTACATCTTGATGTGTTAAACAACGTAGAACATGGCACCTTTTATACCAGACCACACGATCTTTACATGAGCAAAAGTATTGGAACAGGTAGTCTCAAAGTATATAACACGTAATATTTGGCTGCATATCCCACGCTTGCAGTGAGCCGGCGACCCACTGACATCACCAAACTGTTGCGTTCTTCTTTTGCGATGCTTTTCCAGGCTTGTACCGCGGCTTTTTTTCAGTTGTTGTTTGTTTTGGGGAGTTTCTTCCCTCAGTCTCCTCTTCAGGAGGTGACATGCATGCTCAGTTGGGTTAGGGTCTGGTGATTGACTCGGCCAGTCTAAAACCTTCCACTTTTTCCACTGATTAAGTCCTTTTTTGTGTTGGCGGTGTGTTTTGGGTCATTGTCTTACTGCATGATGAAGTTTTTAGGTGAGCAAAAGTATTGGAACAGAGCGTCTTCAAGTAAATATTCATGTCTTCGGTGTAGAGCAAAAACAAAAGAATCGTTCCAATACTTTCGGAGGGGACTGTATATGTTATATATTTAGTTTATGTTTTGACTAGAATAACCGTCTTACTTCACCCAGAGGTAAGTGCAAACAAAACAACTTTTAAACCAATAATAGAGAGAAAAATATATATTTATATTCTTATTTTATGCAGGTTGCAGATTTGGATGACGAATTTGCCGAGCTGCTTCTTGGAGAATATTTTGACAACTTTGACTCAGTGCCTGCTGGGAAAGTACGTTATCATATACGCTTGGTTACTTGTAATTGTGTGTGTGTGTGTGTGTGTGTGTGTGTGTGTGTGTGTGTGTGTTTTCCTCAGTAATTCTTTTAGCTCATGCTGAAAATTTCTGAAATAAATGAGAAGAGGGACAAACATGCCAAAGTTCTTTTTGCTGTCTTGTTTCAGGGATCAGGGCTAACGTGCAGTTTGCAGTTCTGTCCTCGATTCACATGTAATAGATATTCAAGTCTGGCTAACGTCTTTGTTTTCTCTCAAGAGGTTGAACTGCGAGGTGGCTTTGTGTAGCAGCAGAGTTATATGACAGCTGTGCACTGGACCTCATTTTGATTGGACAGTATTTTAACATCAGCCAGATCTCGGGCAGTGTGTGTGTGTGTAGCTCAGCAGTCGAGCAGTGGGATCCGACTATCGTTACAGAATCGAAGTGCATCACAACAGTGGAGCATGTTAAGTTTAATGAAGAACACTTGATTTTTGATTTCAGAAACAGAATCGGCATGTTCCCAGTCCTGAGACTATACAGCGCAGTACAAGTCTTACAGTGAATGAAATCAGGAATTTTTAGTTGAACTGTTCCTTTCAGAGCAGAGTAGCCTCATGCCTCTTATGAATCAATGAATGTGATGAGGTAGTAAATGTGTAGATGCAATAAAGCAATGGAAAGATGTTTTCAGTTGCAGGAGGCGGTGAGGAGAGTGACCCTGTCTCGTAAAGGAGTGCCCGTACTGTGCGGAAGTTCACTGAAGAATAAAGGAGTTCAGCCTCTACTAGACGCCATCACAGCATACCTCCCTGCACCCGATGAAAGGAACCACGACCTGGTGTGAGTCTGCTGTACTCCTCTTCTCTGAACCTGCTCGCCTCTCTTTTGATCCCATTCCTGTTGATTTGATCTGTGTATGTCTGGTTGCTTCAGGCAACATATGTGTAGCGTCCCCTTGTTGAAATTGATGGTACTGGTGTGTGATACTGGGAGCAAATTCAAAGTCATACCAGTAAAGTTTATTTAATATATTTGCAATTTTACATGCTGTTAAACAAAAATATTCTACAATTCTCGAATTAACAATAAATTCTTGAGTGGTTAACCTCATTGTAAGACAAGTTGCATTGTGGCTAGATGTTTGTTTGTGTAATTTGAGTCTTTTTAGTGTCTTGAGTTTGGTCAAATGATTCTGATTCACTCAATGATTCATTCAGTTCCATGATTCACCTACCAGTTCCATGTACAGCCTGATCTTGCAGCCATCTAAAGGAAATGATGAATATCTATCTATCTATCTATCTATCTATCTATCTATCATGAGCCTGAACAGTTGTTGTTAAACTCACAGACATGAATCTCAAATTGATTCAAACTGACTCACTGAACAAGAGAACCTTGCTAGCGACTAAAAGATTTGCTAATTTTTACATCAAGTTAGTCATACACGCAATTACAAATAACTTTTAAGTAAATGTTTAAAAAATAATACAGACAGAAAAAAACATATACCTGTATAAATCATTTCTGTTTGAGAATCATGAAGTCAGTTATGGGTATGTATGGAAATGAAATACTTTCGTTGAAATACAATATTGGCTTCACAATTTCAATTCGATTAGATTCTCAAAATATTTTGAGCAAAATTTGAATGAAGGAAAATTATGAAAGAAAAGACCATAAATTGCTACAAACAGATGTTTAATATTATAAACAAAAAGTACTACAGGTTCACCATATCTTAAAATAAATAAATGTATAAATTCTAAAAAAGATTTTGCTTGAACAAGCAAAGTGTCTGACCTGGTGACTTTGAAAATGATTGACTGAAACATAATGAGCTCAG